TCTATATTATTTTTTTATAATTTTTAAGATTTTCTCTGGTGAGATTCGAACTTGAACCGAAGACAATTTTTGGATAATCGTCTGTCACCTTAGACACTACGCCAATTCCTCACTTGATAAAAAGTGCTTTGTATTGCCCACTTAAGGTTTAAAGAAGAAAAATCTTAGAGATTGTTCGCCTTTTAAATCACAAAATATAGACGAAATTGTTTAGGGTATAAATAATATAAGAGAGACCGGCACAATAATTCGAAATTAATTTTATACCAGGGACTGTATAGAAAATCACTGCAATAAAACAGCAGATAATGACATTTTTCTATCATGCTAATAAAATACTGTGCTTCTATATGTGCGAATTAATTTGGTCAATTGTCCAGTTCAGATTGTATTAAATTTTATCAAAATCGAAACATGATATATTTTCAAATAAACCATCACAAAAATTCTGTAGAAGTTATTTACATAGTGGGACTAATATTTTATTTGATGCTGCTGCCTTCAGTACTTATTGCATGACGGTTAAATCGTTCAGATTTAATGACATAATGACAATTCAAAAAATAATAATAATAATATGAGAAATCATATGAAAAATTATGAGAACAATTTTTATCAGGAATAGCATATGTACGCCTTTAAATGGCCATTTAAACTGGCTATTTAACCGTTGTACTATTCTATACCTGTACTCGTTATTCCTCTATTATTGTTGCTTTTTTATAAGAAATATATAATAGAATTTTAAAAAGTAAAAATTGTTTTTTATTGTGTATTTGTGTATAATTATTGCACAATATAATTATCTGGACTGCTCTCGGAGTTTTACATGGTGTGCATATGAAACTACCCCATTTAATGGCGTACATATGGCCCTTGATAGAATTAAATAGCTTATCTACGAAACAGAATCTGCACTCAATCTGCCGCCAGTCTGTCGTCAGAGTCTGTCGGCTCTGCGCGCAGTCTGTCATTAGAATAGATTCTGTGTACAATCTGTTGCTATTCTGTCTATAGATACTGTTGACAGACTCTGCGCAAAATCTGTTCGCGTAAGTTTGGCTATCTGGACTATCTGGGTAAAGACGTTCTGAGAATGTTCCATTCTGAGAACATCCCGTAGATATCCCCTCGAAATCTTATTTTGAGTTTTTATAGGTAATTTTATCATAGTTCGAGACGATGGAGACTGGCATACATGGACAGCAGGTCTTAAAGGATAGTACCTTTGACTTTGATAGCTGTATCACTTAGTACAGTAACACTGTTTCTCTCTGTAGTCGCCGTGCGCTCGGGATCGCTCCAGAGATGTCGCTTCCGAATGGCATCTCTGAGTGTTTTCTAGGGAGAGGAAAATGTCGTGAGCGTGGAGCATCAAGTAGCTCAGTGGTTTAGAGCAGTCGCCCGGCAAACGAAAGACCCGGATTCGAGTCCCGGCCCAGCAATACGCGCACTCGAAATTTTTCTCTCTCTGGAACAATGAAATATACAGATCTCGAACGCACAGCGTTCCCGCCGCTACTTACAAGGAGATGCCACAACCTGCTAAATCGATTTCTGAACGAGATATAGCACGTTCGCTAGCTGCGATGTTAAGCATCAACACCCTAATTGGGATTTGTGCCAATGGGCCTTTGTTTATGAGAAATTACAATATAAAATTTGGATTGTGAGACTGTATTACGGATATGGCTAAAAATGCGACTATCTTTCAACGAGGTGGCGTGGCTGAGCAGACTGAGGCTCCCATGTCGGAAATTTTTGAGCCGGCAGCGGCTTTTTCAGTCTACTCGGCCACGCCACCTCGCTGAAAGATAGTCGCATTTTTAGCCATATCCGTGATATAGTCTCGCAATCCAAATTTCATATTGTAATTTCTCATAAACAAAGACCCATTGGCACAAATCCCAATTAGGGTGTTGATGCTTAACATCGCAGCTAGCGAACGTGCTATGTCTCATTCAGAAATCGATTTAGCAGGTTGTGGCATCTCCTTGTTAGTACGCCCTCCTCATTTTATAAAAAATAGTAATATTTCCAGATTTTTGTTTCACATATAATGTTGAGAAGGTATCATCTTTATTTTTTTATATTTTATATTTTATAATACGCAGAATATAAGTAATGTTTTATTATTTTAAGTACGAGTTGTCATCTAATGATATTTTAAATTATATTCACTAGTATGACACACTATAAAATACTCATTGTATTTTTTGTTTATGTTATTTATTTTTTTCTTATATATTACGTTCAAAAAGTACACGGGATTGTTAAGTAAAACACAAAGTAATTGTTTATTTTATCTCCTTCAAAGTACTTTCTATTTGATGCAATGTATTGCCATCGCTTAACTCAGTTCTCAAAGTACTTTTTGTATGCTGAAATTGGTATTGTCTTCATCTCTCGTTGCGAATTTTCTTTTAGGCCATCAATCAATTCAAAACGCTTTCCTCGGATTGGCAACTTGTTTAGGAAATAGAAAAATGTCACGGGAAGCTATGTCAGATGAATACGGTGTTTACGGAATCAAGTTCATTGAGTTTTTGGTTAAAAATTCCCGTACAAGAATCGATGTGTACGATGAAGCATTATCGTGGTGCAAAAACAATGAATTATCTTTCCATAAATCTGGTCTTTTCCGACGAATATTCTCACGTAAATGCTTTATAACGCCTAGATGTAATACTCTCTATTAACTGTTTGGCCTTCCGGAATAAATTTTAAATGCACAACACCACGATAATCGAAGAAATCAGTGAGCATGACTTTGATTTTTGAGCGACTTCTACGTTTTAATAATACGTTTTACGCTTGAACGTAAAAGTCGACTTACTTGCTTATGTTTTTTCGATTTTAGTTCATTTCTCATGCGCTATTCCGAAGATTGTCGACTTGTTTGCATATCGTATTCATAAACCCATGTTTCATCATCCATTATAATGCATTCGATAAATGTTGCTAGAAGCACAAAAAATCTCTTCAGCAACAGTTTTGTTGTCGTTTTTGTAAAAAATTCAGCTCTTTCGGAACAAGTCGTGCTGCGACGCTTAAAAATTTCTTCTCGAACATTTACACGAATTATTACAAAATCAAAGATAAACACTATTATTTATAAATTTAAGGATATATTTAATGACCATATTTTTTACATGAATAAAGGTTCGTAAAAACTGATCTATTTTACAGTTTGAATATTTCACCTTTAGCTTTCATTGTAGCTCGGAGACATTTCGTAAAACTTTCATATGTGGCACGGAGGGTTCTTTAGAAGCTTTTCCCAAATTTTTACTTGCTCTAGGTGATTTGAAAGGACATATTCTTAAGAATATCCTCTATGTCGCATATGAAAATTTCCCGAAGCGTCTCCGGTTTACCATGAAGAATAAAAGTTAAAAATTTGAGAACATTTTTATGAACCTTTTTTCATGTAAAAAATATGTCTTTATTAAATATATCTCCAAACCTGCCAATAACAGTGTTTTTATTTTGCTTTACTTCGTTTAGAACATGTTGCACATGTATAACATATATATTGCATATAGCTTTCTCCTTTTTTTTTCTTTTAAAGCTAGCATCATATAATGCTCGATTTTATATATAATTTGCTAATGTGACTATCTAGGTGATGTGATTATCTAGGTATTATGCTAACTTGTAGGCTGCTGTGCTAACTTGTATGCTTTGTTGTATGTCTGACTTCTTTATGCCTTCTAGTATGCTTGGTTTCGATTATTGCTATATTGTTATAAAGATAATCGCTGTAAATATTAAATATTTAAAGACATAACTTTTAACATTTTATTTAAGATTTTTAATACATAACTTTTAATTGTTTTAATATTACGAAAATATATAAATGATATTTTATAATCATACACAAAAAACAACATACACGAACACACATACATTGATGATGTTATTATAACATGTAACATTTGCATATAGAAAAATAAAGTGTCTAAAAATTCCAAATACAGCTGTGATATGTAAGTAGAATGGGTTAAATAGAACAGGAAGTTATGTGTATGTGCCATTTTGCAAATTTTGCAATTCTCGAGGAATTGATTTAATCATATGAGCGAATGAATGCACGGAAAGCAGTAGGACAGACTTTGTGGATATGTCTAATCAAAGATAGTTTCCAGTTTGTAAAAGATGTCGTATTTCCTTGAATCTTCTAGCAACGGCAGATTTCAACTTTTATATATTAGCAAAAAGTAGAGTAACCGAACGAATAATGTAACACGAGGATGTGCGCCGAAAAAACAGATCTCTCAGAATCAGTTACTGCTATTTACTGCTAGGAGATCGTAAGAAGAAAGTCATTTTTCTTACAGATTCGAACAACTTTAATTAAAAATGTCTATAAAGTCCGTCCTATCGTTTCCTATGTGTTCATTCGCTCATATATAATTTAATTAATTACCAAGTAACTATTGCAAAATTTACGTAATGATACATCCTAATTATATTGACTCGTTTCACCTGTACATTACGATTGTGTTCAGAATTTTCGAACATTTTGTAGAAATGAAATTCAAGCACGTGATCACTCTCGATACACTGATTATTGCATGTAGGGAAACAAACACTGCAACCTCAATCATCGATATCATGCACTCTAATATATACCGCAGTATGCATAGCAACATAGCCAACATACAGTAAATCGTACAGAGAATCGAGCATCGTCTGACATTAACTTTGCATACAGTAACGTTAGGATTTACAAGACTGTTTTTTTCTTTTTATACGGTGTAAAAAATTAATATAACCAAAAGAGACAATCTTAAAATAGTAATTCTTTTTTTACATAAGCTATAGTAAAAGTAATATTGATAATTAGATGACTTAAAATTTCATAAACAACGTTTTTACGTACTGAAAAGAATACATAAAATATAAAATATATTTGTAAAGAAAGAAATACTATTTATATGCAAGCTAGAATGTATCAATTAGAGTAGAAATAGAAACTAGATTAGCGCTCCATGCAGCAGGCATGGACAGCATAACAACGGCGCACTCAATTCTGGGACTCCCCCTTCCCCATTGTCCTCACGTCATAGCAGCCAGGACAGTTTGCACAAGAATAACTTCTCTGGTGTTGGACTACCTATCGGACAGCTATCAACGTCGCATTTACACATGCAATCGACTATGAGCCCCGCTACAGCAGCTGCAGTTGCAGCTGCGCAAAAGAAGAAAGGCATTAAGAGCAGTCTTGGTAGATTTTTCAGCAAGAAGGAAAAAGTAAGATATTTTTTCTTTTCTTCTATTTTATTTTAGTATTATGATTAAAAGTAATATTCGTTTATTAATTTTTATTCTTTTAATGTGTTTAGATCAAAGGAAAAGATACACCAATGCCTGGCGATGTACCAGGGATGGGAGGGGCGAGTACACCAGCAGATCCTGATTACGGAGACAGTGTATCTGTAGCTGGTACACTTGGAAGCAAAAGTGATTTCGACCGTAGGAAAAAGAAAAGGTATTTCTATAGAAAACATTTAAATATTTTACTACTCTAATCCTTATTGCAGACTCTGTAAATTTTTTATGCTTTCGATATTACAGGGATTATATAAACCTGTTTAATTCTTCTCTAATATATATAATTTATTCATGATCATAAGCACATCGGCCTTGTTTTAGTCCCAGTATGTTTGGTAGTATGCTGGATTCTTCGCGACACGAGCTCTTAGCGGAAGCGATGAAAGCTGGGACACCCTTTGCCCTGTGGAACGGACCGACGGTTGTTGCATGGTTGGAGCTTTGGGTAGGCATGCCAACGTGGTATGTCGCTGCTTGTCGTGCAAATGTCAAAAGCGGTGCTATTATGAGTGCTCTTAGCGATACCGAGATTCAACGAGAAATTGGTATAAGGTATGATATTTTTTGACTGATCCGTTTTACATCAGGATGTCTCATTATAAACAAAGCTGTTAAATATTTCTTGTAAACGATATAATTCATGAAAAAATTATTTATTTAAAAATTAGAGTAAACTTCCAAAAACCACCACGGCTTATTGACTTGAATTTCGACAAAAAATAAATCGAAAAATGTCAAGAGATAAAAATTACTTATTTTTGTTTCATAAAACTGAAAATTTTTTCAGAATTTTTTATTAACTTTTTAGTACTGCATTTTCTTGCATTTTCTTGAAGTACTAAAAAGTTAATTAAAAATTCTAAAAAAATTCAGAGCTTGATGACAAAAAATAAGCAATTTTTATCTCTTACCATTTTTCAATAAAGTTGAATTCGAGTAAGAAATTATTGAAACTAATAATTTTGTAGATATTTTCGCAAATATCTTAAAAAATAGGGGTCGTATGAAAAAATTTTTCAAACAAAAGTTGTTTGTTTCTTTACGTAGAATAAAATTTCATAATAAAAACATATTTCTATATAAAAAAGCAAAGTTGACCTTGACCTGACCTTGGTAACGCCACCCAAGGTCAGACTGATAAGATCAGTGAATAAATAATTTAAAACCCTACAATTTTTATAGGAAACATTTATTTCGGAAATGCTTAGTTTTCGAAATATTTCACCGGTCCGAGACTTTTTACTCACCTGTATAATTTGTTTAAATATACTTTTTCATTCTTAAGTAATAAACGGAATAATAAACGATAATAATAACCAAAAGTTCATATAACTACTTTTTCGAGATTTAAATAAAAATGTAATGCGACAGGGAGGTTTATTGTACCGTTTATATTTATTCGTAACTAGTTATTTTTATTTTTGATGTTTATTTTTTATTTTTAAAAGGAGTCATTTTATGGCAAGTGGAGGAAGTGATCAGCTCAAAGGAGGTAAAAAATAACGAAAAATTATATGACAATAGTTGAGCAAACTTTGAGATCTTATTGAGCGAAACATAAGGAGAACGACCATTTGAATGGCTAACTTCATTTGTTAATAACTTTTAAATAAACAACGAGTGACGGTTACAAGGTTATTTATATTTTTGAAAATTACCGAAGATGATTTTGATAATATATATACAGGGTGTCCCGAAGTCCCATGATGACCCTTGGTGAGAACGTAGAACGGATTGAGGTGAGCAAGAAAGTCCTGTGCCGTTTTGTGATATTCGCAATAGTTTTTGAGAAATTAATTATTTTGTCTCAACAAATCAGCGTACAGAAAGCGGCAGCGGAAAGAAAGATGCCTTCGGCCGACGTGCGACCGTGACACTCGCGAATCGTATCTCGCCGCATCCCTCCGCCCATAGCTACGAGACATAGCGAGTCGAGATACTCTAATACATGTGCATGACATCCGTCTGTCGAATCGACGCCGAATCGAAGCGTGTCGCCGCTTCGGCTGCATACATGTATGTAGAGGTGACACAGCGAGCAGCGTGTAACACAAAATCGTGTACCCAGCGATAATTATCTTTCGCTTTCTCGACGTCATGGTAGAAAAGCGACAGCGCGCGATTACATTTAGAAAATTATTTTATAAGACAGCTCACATTAAAACCGTAATGTGTTCCTGTGATTAAAAAAAAAAAAAGAAAGAAAGAAAGCGATAAAAACTAAAAGTATTTGCAGAGAATCTAACTGTTCTCTATCGTAATTGTTTCTCTATCGTATCTTTTGCATGTATCGAATCCGCAAGAAATGAAATCGTGCTCTGTTAGGAGAGTATTAAATCGTTACTATGATATAATTCTTAGAGACTTGTGTCCTATCGTTTTGTTGGAATTTATCATGAAAATATCACTGGAAATCTGTCATAATTTGTAGTATATTAACGATGGGAGAAACTCAAAGTTCTTTATTGTATAAAAGAAACCTATCGTTCTCGAACGATTGTGTACGAACGATATTTGACTTGTATAATTACGATAGAAGGCGTGCATCATAATCTATCATCAAGTAGTTACACCAAGAACAGATGTTTTTCTATCGACTTCTTACAAAAAGCGTAACACGCTTTGGCTAAGTACATTCGTTAACAAAATTATATCGTATAGGTAAATTTATGTCCAAATTTAGCATAATTTTAAATGAACATAATACTGCGAAACATTATCGTATTTGAAATCTTTTTTCATTTCTTTTAAAGAATTAAATCTGTACTTTAAGAAGCCGAATAAATTCAAAATGCTCCTTAAAAAAAAGTACAGACTCGACTCTTTAAAAAAAAAATTAAATACCATAATGTTTCGCAGTATTATGCTCATTGAAAATTGTACTAAATTTCGAAATTTATTTACCTATGCCATAATTTTGTTGACGAGCACATCGTAATTATTTAATAAAATACTTACGAAAGGAGAACATGACGAATACTACGTATAATAACCTAGGTATATCGTAAATTTACAAAAGGCGTCTGTAAATTCGTGAAAAAGGAAATGTTATCATTTCAACACCACCCTGAGGTAGATAATTTGGCGCGTTTTTTTTAAGTGGTTTCCCCAGTAGGCCTAATCCACTCTCATTATTTAAGGCAATAACTGTTCGAAGTGGCTTCCTTCTGCTTGTAAACAGAGTTCAGCTCTTCGAATTATCTGTTGCGTCGCACGGTGCGCCATGTCCGGCGTGATGGTATTAAAGGCCGCAACAATTGCTTCACGTACTTCACCTTCATTACCATCACGCCTGTGCTCGACTGAAGCTTTAACATAGCCCCAAACAAAATAGTCGAGCACGTCCAAATCTGGCGATCGTGCCGGCCAGGTGATTGGGTTACCTCGACCCATCCACCTTTCCGGAAAACGCGTATTTAAAATGTGCCGTATTTGACGAGCAGAATGTGCCGGAGCTCCGTCGTGTTGGAATACTAGTATTTGCCGCATGTGGAGAGGAACGTCCTCCAGAAGTATCGGCAAATCGTTACGAAGGAAGTGTCCATACGCCTGTCCGTTAAGACGTGGCGGCAGAAAATATGGGCCTATCTGAAAAGCGCAAATGGACACATTATGAGGAAAATATGAGGAAGAAAACATTTCTTAATTTACAAGAATATTTACCACTCGGTCCGCTGTTACTCCTGCCCATACATTAATGGACCAGCGATACTGGAAAATACCTTCCCGTATGGCGTGAGGATTTTCCTCTTGCCAGAGCAAGAAATTGCGAGAGTTGAAGACGCCATTAGGAGTAAATGTAGCTTCATCCGTCCACAAAATACGGTCAGGAAATGTCACATCCTGCCGATACTGTGCCAGTAACCCTGCATATGTTATATTAATGGTAAACATATTAATGATATTAATAGAAATATGCTAAAAGCGCTGTGAGTATTTCTGTGGAGAATACCTTGACAGAAGCAGATCCGCTGTTCTGCATCTCGCGGCAAAAGTTGCTGCACACGTTGGTAATGGTAAGGATGCAAACCATTTTGGCGGATAATACGATGCACTGTTGTTCGCGATATACCAAGTGCGTGTGCTACGCGACGTACACTGCTTCCAGGATTGTTCTCGAATATTCGAAGCACTTCCTCTTCGTTGTGGACATCACGGTGTCTTGGTGGAGCACCATAATCCCGGCGATTCACCATTAGGCATGCTGTTTCCTCCGCACGTCGGACGCAACTCAAAATAGTGCGATACGACGGATGCCGCTCGCGATTGGGAAACCGCGCCGCGTAAATCCGCTCCGCGAGACAGGCATTTTCGCCGGCCATTCCGTAACAGATAATTATATCTGAATATTCTTTGGGAGTATACTCCATCGTCGTTAGCGCACGTCAATAACGCGAAATATTTGCACGCTAACAAATGAGTACAATAACATGTGAAAAACGAAAAAAACATCTGAAAATCGGAAATAGTCTCCTTGTTGCCCTTGCGGCAGAAAAGTATTTCGATCGATAATTGCAGATCAATACATGCATTTATTGACGATAAATACATGTATTGATCTGCAATTATCGATCGAAATACTTTCCTGCGAGGGCTGCACGGAGACTTTCCGATTATCAGCGGCGGTATTGATCTACAATTATCGATCGAAATACTTTCCTGCGAAGGCTGCACGGAGACTTTCCAATTTTCAACGGCGGCGCGGTTTCCCAATCGCGAGCGGCATCCGTCGTATCGCACTATT